GGCAAACATTTAGGAATATTGGGTCCTACAAATTTCGTACTTTATTAGGATACGTTATATTTTTTATTCGAGCGTTACTGATGAGTCTTTTGTAGACGAAAAGCGCGTCTGGCGTACAAAAATTGTAATTCTGGTATATATGATGAGGTTATATACTACTTTAAACATGTTATACAAAACCTGTCATTCAAGTGGGAGGTTTAGCTAGCTATAAAATCAGGATTGACCTATCATTTTCATCGGAAAATGCCTGTACCAAGTCAGAAATGTGGCAGTTGTTTGAGCTGGTATCGTTGATTGATAGCGTTTGATTTTGTCAGTTTTTATGGACTTCCCCTTTTTAAATTTGCCTTGGAGTTCGGTATTTTTATAAAACTTTAATACGTCAACACGACATATCGCAATCAGGAAATAAAAATATACAATATCAAACTCTTTATTCCTCTAGAGATTATAAAACTCGTATATTCAACACAGGTGTTTTAAATCTATGCAAACAAACGCAAAGGAAAAATAGCTCATAGTACAGCCTGTAATAAGGTTACAGACAAGGTCACGAGCAAGTTATGAAATTAAACTAGTTTTGGAGTACTCATCCCTCTCACATTCTAGATCGGTGGTTGACAAAACTGTACATAAAAGAAGCTAGAATGAAAAATCATTCGAAAGATCCCTTGAATGTACATGTATGTCTAGAACAATTGAAACATGACACCGCCCTGTTGGCTGGTAATTCAGACATAACTGTTTAGCAAAATATAGATGTTTAATTTTGTTTTCTAATTCATCAGGGGAACACATAAAACTAAACTTTTTTTCTTCGTCTTCTAATAAAAAAGCAGTATATTTTTGTATATGTTTTTGTTGTATTTTTGTTCTTATTATGTTATTTTGAAAATTTATCATTTTATCATGCTTTTGTTTTAACGGAAATTTTGGCAGTCAATGCAATATATTTATAGTTGTTTTGTTTGTTCTTCTGATTTTGTTACATGTATCTATTGTACCCTTATCAAAGAAATAAGTGCTTTATTTTCAGCTTAATATATTCAAAGTTTGTAAAACTCGAGCGTTTCAGATAACGTGCTGTTTAGACATCTGTCGCCTATTGTTGAAAACTGTATGTCTCCCTGCTTTTAGTAAGTTATTTTGTTTTGTTGTTGTCTTCTTTTCGTCACATATAGGTAACACTGTCGTATTCTTATTTTTTTTTACATTTATTCAGCAGGTGTTGGAAAAGTGTAACTACCGACTATAATTAGGTTGCTTGTCCTTTTTTTTCTCAAAATCTAGAACCCTCCGGATGTTGCATGCCAAGAAATACACTGATTGGTACATATTCATTTCCAATATATCTTCAGTTCAAACAATTTATACCCTTTGTTTTTGTTATTAAAAAAACCCTAAAACTTTCAGATAAAAATACTAGTAGTTAAACTACGTACAGACAACTATAAACATCGACCAAACGATAAAGATTTGAACAATTACAGGTCACGATCGGCCTGCACCAATAGTCAAAACACATACCATATACCGTATGTTAGTACACATTTCTAAGTCAGCCATGTTTTAGGTGTATACTCATATTATTATGAATATGGTGTATTTCTTCCCGAGATAACTTCTCACATGTTTACAACCTCTCTCTTATAAAGGTTATTATCGAAATGTTTGTGAAGGTTATCCGGGCAAGTAAACTTTGTCATGTATTACTATAATATTTAACAGATATGAGTTAAATTGCCCTTCTGCGGTCAAAATGTTTCTATTGCTTCAATCAAAAATGAAATATACCAACTTTAAAAATGCAACACTAGATCTTTTTTTTTAATTTTCATTTTCAAATATACCATTCTTTTAAAATACGTACCATGAATTTTATTTATTTCTTAATCGTCAAAATAAAGTTTGAAGTTCAGTAATTGCGTGGATTATGATATGTTTAATGTTCAGATCATATGGTATGCACCGTCAAACTGATATATGATTGACAGACACGTCGAACGGTTTTGAGGGGGGTGTTTTGAGATCAGTTTTGTCAATGTTAATTAAGTATATGACTGGCCGATTACAAATCTGTTTTGCCAATGACGCGGTTAAACCTGTAAACCTATAAATGGTTTGCTGCAATTGATTCGTTTTAGTAGATTGGAAACAATCATAGCGTGAATTGGTCTGCCATGGCGTCCGACGACTTAGTTAGTAGACGTTTCAGTCGTTAATCTGTCTCATAAATGACGTTGTCTAATGATATTTTATTGACGTAGTGATGTTACTGAAGGTTGGCCTGGGGATGGTTGGTAATTTAACAATCCCGTCTACCTGAACCGTTGTTGTAAAAAGTAATAGGTCCAGCAACAGCAATTTTACCTAAATCAACCTGCAAAAAGTAAAATACTAAAAATAAAGAACTCCATGGAAAATTCAAAGCGGAAAGTCCCTTATCAAATGGCAAATTCAAAAGCTCAAACACATCAAACGAATGGAAAACATCTGTCATATTCCTGACTTGGTACATGCATTTCCTTATGTAGAAAGTGTAGATCAAACCTGGTTTTATAGCTGGCTAAACCGCTCTCTTGTATGACAGTCGCATATAATTCCATTATATTGATAACAACGTGTGAGTAAAATAAACAGACATAATATGTAAAAATGTCAAAAGTTGGGATACAGCAGTCAACATTGTTTTATTCTTAATCACCATAAAACAAACAACTATGTCAACAGAGAAAAACAAAAAGGCATATAAACACTCTATAGGTTGCAATTCTGTAAATATAGACAATGCCATTTCCCATAGGAACTCCATTTACGGCTTAAACTGTACCACTTTTACTACGAAGTTTCGTTTCCTAGAATAAAAAGCTCATATGCACTACTATTGTGTTCAAATGTCAAAATATAGGGCTGTTTGGCATATTTTCAACATTTATATGCCCCAACTTCTAAGAGTTTAAACTGATACTAAAATTCGGTACTACCCCTCCCTTCACTTTGGGTCTTCCTCAGATTTCAATTCGGCCGCTATTCATGTGTATCTATGCTGGTAACATTCCCAAGTTATGTCTCTACGAGATGAAACATAGAGATCATATCTGGGAACCAGTAGGTAACCAAAACAACATATCTATGAATAATATATCTCCCCAAAAGAGGCGTGGTTTGTGAAACAGCTGTATAAACAAAGTGCAACCTAAACACAAAGCAAACAAGCAAAATTGAAATACAAGAATACAAAAAAAAAATCATCATAGCACAATAACACAATGGCGGGATGTATAAATACCGAGTCACACCAAAACGATATTACAGAAAAAAATTAAACAGTAAATATCTATGGATTAATATAGATTTCGCTAACTCAAACTCAGCAATATGTAAACTCAACAAAATATTGACTGATCTCTCTGTTGGTATGGATTCAATGAATATGTTACTAAGATAAATAAAAAACATAACAAAATCATGCATGGTTTCAAATATTGCGTCAAAAAATTCCTGCGACGTCAATTACTCGGTTTATCCAACTATCGCTGGTAAGTCAGGTATTGCCTTTTTTCTTATCAGATAAACGCATGATAAGCATGTACTGTAAAGATTATTCTTGGATTGATAATTACAGCATAACTAATCGACGAATTTGAATTATAGAAAATGCCCGCATGTGTTCTATTTTTTTTATATTCAAATACAGATTAGTTATACTTTTTATTATATAGAAACATAATATCAAAACACTTTTTTTGTGTTACTTTCGTAGGTTGGATTCACTTATTGTATTGTCTATTTTACTGCACTGTATTTTTTTGGCGTATAAATATATGCGTATTGCACAAAGTCGGCAAATTGTCACTTCTAGAAGATTGATGAAAATTTTGCAATAAATGCGAAGCAAGAAGTTGTTTTAAAATGCTCCCATATTATCGGCAGATGATAAATGACAAAAATTATCAATTAGTTCTTAGTATTAAGGCGCTAACCTTTAGTTGGAAGTCTCAAGTGAGGGTCATGTACAAGATGGGAAAAGTCTCGAGTGTTCAAATAAACGAGTTATCTCACATGAAAGATTACTGGATTTATCACAATAGGAATTTCATATAAATCATCATCAGTATATAAGAAAACATTGGACATAAATGTGTTTTGCGTTTTTTAAGTTCATCAGTATACTTTGGCAAATCATGACAGTATCTGTTAAATTCCCCTGTCTCTTATTTATAGATTATCTGGCTGGCATACGTGCACAGATGTAGAATGGTGGAAATTTATTAAATAATTGAACTAAAACATATGTAGAGACCATGAAACAACTGAAATGAGTTTTAAAACTTTTACCATACAGAGGTTTAAAAGATGAAAAAAAAAAATAAAAACAGCAACCAAAGATTGCTCCTTGGATTTTTGTTTTGTCAAATTCGTGTCGTTCATTCATTACACAAAACAAACAGAAACAAATTTGTTTTTGTGTACGTTTGCATTTGTTTAAATACAAGTTTTCTGTAATCTAGTTTCATAACAGGTATAAATTTACACATAATTCTTAGAAGAACTAATTAGATTTTGTGGATTTTCGCGATAGATTTCTGCTTTCATTGCTCTTATCACCACTAAGTACATTTTGTATTTGTATCCAGTTTTCAAGGACATTTAGTGAAAAAAAGATGCAAGGCTTACAGTTTTGCCAGACGCGCGTTTTTTTTCTACAAAAGACTCATCAGTGACGCTCGAATCAAAAAGTTAAAAAGAAATTGAAGAGCATTGAGGACCCAAATTTGTAATGGTTTTGCCAAATAAACCGAAGGTAATCTATTCATGGGGTTGAAAAGTTTCTTTGATCACCATTATTTTAGAATTTAAAGGAAGTATATTTCAATTGAAAGTCTAAAAACAGATCTATTAAGCAAAATTTCCAATTTCTTATTTGCATATTCAAAGAAAGAACTTTAACGATAAAGTTTTGCAACAAATTAGAACAGTAACAACAAGAGCCGGAATTACTTATTTTACTTTTTTATGTTCTACAATTTGACCTCTTAAATGAAACAATACAATTGAAAACATGTGCAAATTTTCACGAAGAATGTTTATACAGAAAAAAGGAAAATAGCGGCAACCATGGAATGACGTATTTCGGTCTGAAAATAAAAATCTTTGTCTGAAAGTCCTGCAAGAGTTATTGTTTCAGAAAATAAAATATATATTACCAAATTTATATCGGTGGTCCGAAATTCTAACTTTAAAGCAAAATTAAATAGTCGAAAACTAAAATGCTTATCTATACATGGTTACAGAACAATACAACATAACATTTGAAAATACGCAATATTTCACCGATCGCACTCCTTTATCACAACATAACCATTCTTTATATACAAACAAAAAAGGAAAAAAATTGAACACTATATTACATAAGGAGTAAAATAAATGTTATTTCTTAGAGAAATAAATCTCAATTATATTTTAACGACGTGAATTTTGGCATCACCTGCTTCGATGGAGCTAGAGTTGCATCCAATCAATAGAAATCCTTCACTATCCATGCACAGACTCAACGGACGTTTTATTCCAAGATCTGTTACAGTTTGTAAGCCAATCAGCTCTCCCTCTGTATTCAATGCATGTAGAGAGTGGTTATTTTTATCGGAGACTATTATGGTATTTGTTTTTGTGATAACAATACCATTTGGATTGAACGGTGTTTGTGGTGTATTGATACTTTTATGACCATTGTATATGAATTTTATACCACCAGATCTTTCTAACGCGACTAAACGTCCTTCTAAATTTTCAAATAGATCAATTGCATAGATGTTATAATATGAATCAGTGGATATTCTATCGATATAACTAAACAGTTTTTTACTCTTTTGATCGTATTCAATCGTTAATTTTCGTTTGTTGTTTTCGTCGAATACAACAATTTGTCTGGTACAGAATTCTGTGACCGGAAATGGTGGTCCTTGTTCTCGAAGACCTAGAATTATTTCGTTGTCATTATTGATATGTAGGCCCAATATAATCATCGGTGAAGTGCTAAAAACTGTATTTGTTATACCACCAATTGATAAAACTTTTAACTCAGAAGCACGGAACTGTCCATAGTATATTTCATCTTTACTGCCGAGTGCAAAATCTGAACATTCTATATCTAATTCCTGTAATACTTTTATTGATTCCTTCAATAACCGAATAATGAAAAACTTGTATCCGTTCTCATTTGTATTGTACGAGCAGTAAATTGTGTCATTGCCAGAATATTGGATTTTATTGAAAGCAGCAAAATCTGACGCATATGTAGATAGTAGTGACGATATTACTGTTCGGGAAATCTGAGCAGAAATATCACTTTCCTTCTTTCCAATATCTGTTATGAAAATTATAGTATGTGTTTCGGACAATTTAAATCTGGGATGGACACGTTCTTTACAGTTGTCACACATTAATATTGCGCAATCCTTACACTTCCATTTTATAACATTAGGATGGTCACAAAGCTGACAAGACAATGGCGACTGTGCTTTCCTGATGGACGAAGCCATTATGTTTCAAGCAAATTCCTTAAAGTAAATTGTAATACATTTGATCAAAAAACATATTCTACATTATGTCTGAAAAAAGTATTAAGATACCGAACTCCACGGTAAATCAAAAAGGGGGAAGTCCATAAAATCTGACAAGATCAAACGATCGACTGAATTAATCAGAATTTCGGAAAAATGCCTGTTCCAAAAGAGAGAAAACGAGAAAGTCAGGAATATGACAGTTGTTTTTCACTGGTTCTGTTGATTGATAGCGTTTGATTTTTTCAGTTTTTATGGACTGCCCCTTTTTGAATTTGATTTGGAGTTCGGTATTTTTGTTGTACTTTTCTACTTATCGATATTGTTAAAGCGAAATAAAGTTCAAACTCGTTAATTCATTTGGAACATTCCAACTAAGAAAAGATAATCCTGAACGATTCACATGTATAGTTAAACTGAGCTAAACTGGATACGTCGAAAATGAAGGCTGTTCCTGTTTTGCATGTGTTATCCGCTATGCCAACCCAAATAATCACAGATGACAAAAGACGAAGTACATTGAGGGGCTAATTTGGCTCTGTAAACTCATCAAAAATTAAAGATTGCCTGATGTCAATACTAATATGTTTTTTAAACACCAGAAGAAAGGCTTTTCAGAGGATGCGAATAATAGCCAAGCCTTGATGACACAATTCGACTGTGACGTCTTTAAGGTAACATTATTAACGAGATTTGTCAGATTTTTAGCCACTATAGGCTAACTGTAAAAACATTTTGACTAAATCATCACAGAGCAGAAGCGTCGCCCAAAATATTTTTGCCAGTGAAAAGATAAACAAAAAATATACTCACTGTTTAAGTATCTTTTTGGGCAACAGTTGTGCTCTATATTATTTCTAAGCTGTAGAAGCCACATAGTCTAGCTATTGCATGACTTCGCCATTATACAGAATTTACTGAATTTTTATGGCTGTATAACTCATGAAAAGGGTGTATTTTAAAGCAAAACAGCATTGTTTTTTTAAAGTGTATACATTCAACAATTGATTTTTAAAATCCGAGATAGTTTGAAATGTACTTGAATTTAGAGCTAAGTTTGCCTTAAATCGTACTTCATCCTAAAAAAATATAAGCAAACAATTCCAATTATACCGTTACTTGCAATAGCTGAGTACCAAAATACATAAGCTGATGGTATAAAAATTATGAGTTGACTCTTATAGAATCTGTAGAACCTCCTAGTAAATTTCATTAAGTTTCAAGAAGAACAGTAGAGAACAACATTATTTTGTGCAGTTTCCTAAGTAGATTAACGAACAGACTTTTAAGAGGGTCTGGATGGGTGTCCTTCATTTCTGTATTCTTCAATTTTTATGACATTTTTCTCTATTCTTTCAATACACGACAGGAAATAAATGTAACATATCAGTCTTCTATCATACACTTTACTCATATTTTGATACTGGTATCTATGATGAGTTTTTTACAACCACTGGGTCCGACCCGAGAATATCACATGTCCAGTAGTCAGCACTTTGGCGTTGACATTAATTATATATCGATATGGTCATAATTATAAATCAACTGTTTACAAAACTTTGAATTATTAGAAATAATGAGGATTTTTCTACCCCAGGAATAAATTTCCTTAGCTGTATTTGGCAAAACATATCGAAATTTTGGGTCCACAGTGTTCTTTATTTTCGTACTTTTTTTTGTCTTTTAACTTTTTTTATTCGAGCGTCACTGATAAGTCCTTTGTAGACGAAATGCATGACTGGCGTACAAAAATTGCAATCCTGGTATCTATAATAGGATAATATACCAACACAACAAAAAACCTATCACAATTATTCAATACAACTATATCATTATACCTTATTATCTCGTGTTTAGCCAAAAAGAATGCTTACAGCTGTTACCCTTAGTAACATTTGTCATCATTTTAAGTTAATCAAACCTAAATAAATCCAAATGAATAAATTTTACTTAAAGATATCATAGATTAAAAAAAATATCTACAGTAAACATCAATACGAAAGCAACCCGACACATTTCCTTTTTAGGAAAACAAGTATATTTATACAGTACTCACTATGACACCAATTTACTTTATCTAAGTGACAAACAACTTCCTTTCGTCTCCGATGTCTAACACGGCTGCTATAAATAGTTTTCTGCCATTAAAATCAATATATGACAATCATCATAATAATTGAAAGGTAGGTTTTTAAAATGAAACAAGGTATTCAATATTTTGATTCGGTTGATATATTCGTACTTTAAAAAGTGGTTATTTCGAAATACTAAAGATGTTCTACTCCAGGAATAGTTTACCTGAGCTGTATTTAGCAAACCCGTTCAGAATTTTGGGTCTGCAATACTGAACTTTGTAGACTGGCGTACAAAGTTTTAAAGCTGGTATCTATGATGAGGTTACTTACTTTTCTTTTTTTTTGCCATGGCGTTGTCATTTTAAAAATCAAAAACTGTATCTGCATTCAAATATTCATACAAGTCATAATTTTAACAAGTTGTTATATTTGTAAATTTGACCACAATATGTACCATAGTTGTTTTATTTTTGTTAAATGTATATATGTATTGGTAGATTAAATATGTTTTATTCATGTAATTAATGCTGTATCTATTGGGCCTTATTGGGGTTCGTGTTTCTCTTTTCTAGTGTTTTGTATACTGTTGTTTGTCATTTTTTTTTGTCTTGTTCTTTTTTTGCCATCGCGTTGTCAGTTTATTTTCGACTTATGAGTTAAAAGTCGCTTTGGTATTTTTCGCCTATCTTTTGCTGCATTAAACAATATTTATACGTCAACCCGACATATCGGAAAAAGGAAATGGACAATGTCAAGCTCTCTTTTTTCCAGAGTCTAGCAGAGGTTATAAAAATCTATACATACTAACTCCAAGGAAAAAAGCTCTCAGTACAGCCTGTAACAAGTTTACAATCAAGATCACGATCGAAAAGTGGAATTGGACTAGTTTAGGAGTACTAGTACTAATCTCTTTCACTTTCTAGATCGGTGGTTAACAAAAATGTACATAAAAGAACATACAACTAAACATTTTTTCCGCGATTTCTTATAAAACCTCAGTATATATTTTTGTATTTGTATTTGTTTTTGTTATTTTTGTTCTTATCATGTTTTTTTGAAAACTTATCATTATATCATGCTGCTGTTTGAACGGAAGTTTTGACCGACAATGCGGTATATTTATAACTGTTTTGTTTGTTCTTGCGCTTTTGTTACATGTATCTATTGTACCGTTATTATAGAGGAAAATACTTTATTTTGAAGGTTTCAACTTACATAAATCAAAGTTTTTGAAACTCGAGAGATTACCATAACGTGCAGTTTAGACATCCGTTACTTGTTGAGCAGTGTTTATCGCTCTGTCTTTTAGCTAGTTGTTGTTTCTTGTTGCTGTCTCCTGTTCGTTACATTCAAAATATCACTGTCCTCTTCTTATATTTTGTTAATTTATTCATCAGGTGACGGAAAAGTGTAACTACCGACGATAATTAGGTTTCGGGTCTTTTTTGTTCTCAAATTCTCGAACACTACGGATGTTTGAATTCCAAGAAATACTTTGATTGTTAGATATCCCAATATATCTTGAGTTCAAACGATTTCATTCTCTTTGTTCTTGTTGTGAAAAAAGCTAAAAACTTTAGAATAAAAAGTAATTGATTAACATACATAAAAATAATGAGATGTGGTATCACTACCTATTAGAAAACTATAAAGAAAGACCAAAGGATAAAAATGTGAACAATTACTGTCACGTTCGGGCTTCAACTATTAACATTATACATACCATAGAGTACGGTAGTATTCATTTCTAAGTCAGCCATATACTCATTTACTCATATTATCATAAGCATGGTGTATTTCTTCTTGAGATAATTATCGAAATGTTTGCGCAGTATATCCAAATTAGTTGACTTGATATTGTTGGTTCGAAGATAAGAACTTTAAAGCAAAATTCATAACTCGAAAACGTATATGTTCATTTATGCATGCATCATAACAATTGAAAATGCGCTATTTTCACCGATCATACTCTTTATTTACAGCATTGAGACTCCAAATATAAAAACAACAATGGACAAAAAGTTAAAACTATACAAAAAGTATTTCATTTTTCGATAGAAATAAATCATAATGCTATTTTAGCGACATGAATTTTGGCATCATTTGCCGCGTTGGCGCTTGAGTAGCAAGCATAGACTACCCGGAAATTTAACTCCAAGATCTGTTACGGTTTGTAAGCCAATTATCTCTCCTTTTGTATTCATTGATGTAGATCATGGTTATTTCTGTCACACACTATTATGATATTTATTTTTGTGACAACAATATCCATTGGATTGAATGGTGTTTATGATGTATTGACACTACTGTGACCTTCGTATATGAATTTTACACCACCAGATCTTTCTAAAGCGAATAAACGTCCTTTTAAATTTTCAAATAGATCAATTGCATAGATGTTATTATAAAGATCAGTGGATATTCCCCAGATAAAACTAAACATTTTTTTACCCTCTTTATTTTACTCAAACGTTAATTTTCGTTTGTTGTTTTCGTCGAATACGACAATTTGTCTGGTACAGAATTCTGTGATTGGAAATGGAGACCCTGTTTCTCGTAGACCTAGGATTATCTCGTTGTTTTTATTGATATGTATACACAAAATTACCATTGGTGAAGTGCTTAGAACTTTTTTTCTCTCCGTCAGTTGATAAAATGTTCAACTCAGAACCATGGCGTTGTCCGTAGTATATTTCATCTTTACTGCCGAGTGCAAAATCTGTACAATCTACATTTAATTCCTGTAATAACTTTATTGATTTTTTCAATAACCGAATAATGAAAAACTTATATCCTCTATTTGTTGTATGGTACGAACAGTAAATTGTGTCCTCGCCAGAATATTGGATTTTACCGAAACAAACAAAATCTGACGGATACGTAGATAGTAGTGACGATATCACTGGTTGTGAAATTTGTAGTGATCCAAATTGAACAGAAATGTCACCTTCCGCCTTTCCAACATCTTTTATGGAAATGATAGTATGTGTTTCGGACGATTTAAATCTGGGATGGACGCGTTCTTTACAGTTGTCACACATTAACAATACACAATCCATACATTTCCATTTTATGACGTTGGGATTGTCACAAAGCTGACAAGACAGTAGCGACTGTGCTTTCCTGCTGGATGACGCCATTCCGCTTATAATTAACTCCTAAAAAATAATTGATAATGTATTTTTAACGTTGATTGATTGAATTGATTGTTGATTCTTAAAAGTCCAATACATATCAAAGATTCAATCTTCAAATATAAGATTAGATTGATTAGTCTTATTGGACGTTGGTATGATATAAAAAAAACACACAGTATAAGTTCTTTTTTTTTACCTTTTTATTGTTTGTTTATTTTAACTCATATAACGCTGGAAAATTAATCCCTTTTTTATAAAGAAGGGTAGTGTGGTTAATGAAATTTGTTTTTTTCCCGTTGGTGACTATAGCATATAGGAAAAAGACATCGCCAAATTTTATGAAAGAATAAGTATAATAGGCAGTAAAAATATATGATTATTGAAAGTTCATCAACAGATTCAAAATCTCCGGATGAAAGTCATAATAATAAAAAAAAAATCAAAGGAGTTTTCTTGTCCTGAATAGAGTGACAGAATTGAAAACTGAATGATACAGTTTCCTATAATAACTAATTCAGCATTTCGAATCCTAGTTGCGTACATTTCAACCATTTGTAAATCTAGAAAAAAATCTCAAACATTAGCATTCTATTGATAGATTATTTTTAAAATACATGAGTAGTAAATAGGAAAAATAACGTAGTAAAGTCAAACTGCTGTAGCAATATATGCCAAAATTTAAATAATTTTCTATTGTAAACATAGCAAATTATGATAAAAAAAATGTAATTTAAGCAGTTTGTACGATTACCGATAGCACTGTATAACAGAGGTCATAGAATTGACCAGGCTGACACCTTAAACAATGTGCATTGGTACAGAAAATTAAATCTCGAGATCAATTCTGATTTGAAATACTTTCACGAACCAGCAACGCCTGAATATGGAGTATTTATCTTCCAGTCGATACGGTATTCTAGGGCTTGCGTTTCCTACCACGATTTCTTTGATAGAGGGTTTATGCTTACAATGAGGGTATTGAACCAAGGGATCCAAGGATGAAGTGTAAGGCATCACTTTAAAAGTTGTGGTATGAATTGCAAAGAACTGCATTTCTTTGAAGAATTTATAACATTATGTCCCAAAGTTAAAAGACGATTTAAGCCACATTTAACATATAAAGGTGAACATATTTGAGGAACACGAAACAAAACATTTTACAAACCAAACAAACGAGGAATGGTACAGGTTTTATTCAGTTTTGAAATACATGTGTAAGTGTTTTAAATGCTAAAAAAAGGAGTTGATTTAAAACTGTCCTTTGAAGAAAATAACAATTACGCTAGTTTAATTTAAGACTGACAATGAATAATCGGACTCTTTTGCCATTGATATATCATTCAAAATCATAGAAAATTTAATCCTTTCAGAGCCATAGGAACTTCTGCAAATTAAGGCAACAATAGTTTACCGATGTTCAAATCTCATACATGAATTTAAAGGACAAATCATGGTTACAAATAAAATTGCATGAACTCCTATAGGAGCAAAACCAGTTGCGTCGACAATGTAAGCCTCTCCTGATATGTATGCATCACTGCCATGCGAATAAAAAGTCACATGACTGAGTAAAAATGACACAATCGGTAACATTGCAGATCAAACGAATTTTATGGTATATAAAGATCTAAAACAACTGCGATAACATGTCGCAAGTAAGTTGTGGAACAGACACATCGTATTGGTCAACCAATTCGTGATGGTGACTGTAAAAAGTATGTTGTGTCGATTTCAGTCGTTCTTCCTCATAACTTTTTTGGAGCAGGCTTTTTGTAACATACGTCATTATTTGAGAAATTTAAACGTCATACGGCATTGACCGAAAGTTATTTTTACAGCTGAGAAAAAGATCAAGATATAGAACAGACCTTGTTGTATCGGTAATATCCCTAATTTCAAGTTGATTGTAATATATTGGATGCCATAATTCACTAAAATTTGGGTTATTGAGTGATAGGACATCATCAATATATCTGAAAGTCAAATTTAAGAATTTTTCGAGATATTTGTTCGTTTTGTCTTTGAGAAGTTCTGCATGCATGCTGCTTCATTTGAATGCAAAATCGTGACGTAAAAGAAATTTGGACAATTTCAATTTGAGTCAAACGACATTTACATAAAAAGGTTTAGAAAAATGCTAATTGACACTGACTATCAAAACACAATGATATTTCATATCAAGCATTTTTTCTTTGACATATGGATGATATGATTTGTAGGTCACTTAAAAGTATAGATAACAACTATGTTGTTTGTTTTGTTTAAATATTTAAACAACGATATGCATATGTTCCAATGTTTTGCTTTAATTTTATTGATTAACGTCTTTTTTCAGAAAATCTAGATTTTAACATTTCAAGTTTTGTTAATTATTTGATCTATGCTGAATGATACGCAATGTTTCACAGTATTAGTGAGGGTTGCGATAATGGCTTATTAGTTATGGCTTTACATGTCTTTAGCACTTTAAAAATATAAGAATTAAATTCATTTTGCACCTTTTTTGGTACAATGAATGGTATAATGTTTTCTTTCAATTAAATACCTCCTACTTGGCAATATAATGTTTCCCGTCATTTAAATATATAACTTAAATACTGAAAGTATGTTTTTAATTGAGACAAAGTATGCAATATTTTGATTCTGTTGACATATTTTTATGAAAAAAAGGGTAAATTTACTAGTTTCATTTATACAGGTATATATATGACACATAATAATTAGAATTTATAAACACGTTCTGCATCAGTGCACAATGCATTGTAAACAAAACGTAGTTCTTTTGAATATTATTCAGTTAAGCCTCTTACTGTAAGATCAGAAATCAAATGAATGTTAAGTAATGAAGTCAGAAGAAAATGTAAAAGAGTCCTAGTAAATAATTTCATTAATCTTCAAATGTAAAACATCAGTTTCATTTTATGTTCCTTTTTTGGTGTTTATTGATAGAATTAGAACAGTTTTTTAAACGACGAAAATGAATATAAACCAATTTACTTCTGAGCCCACTACATCATTTCAAATTGACATGTGCTTGATCAGGTGCGGAACCAGGATTTTAAAAAACTGAGAACCCATAAAGACAACAGTAGGATTGGGATTTGTAATAAATACACC